TCCAGTGTATATGTTCTAAGAGCTAGAACATTCACTTACATAAACCACAGGTGTGTGTGTGTTTAAATAGAATAAGAGCAGCTGGGGAGAACTTGAAGAGGTCATTTGGCTCCTTCCCAGGCTTCTTGCTGGTAAATTCCTATAGTAAATAGCTGTTTTCCAGGAGTGATAAACCCAGATTCCCCAGGGACCAGGCCTGTGACATGAATGTGAGAGGCGCACAGGCTTGGACAGTTCTGAGGATGCGTACGAGTGGCCCCACCTAAATGAAGAAACCGATGCTATGCTGAACATAACCTTATGTACTGGCCACATCTGTCCCTCGGGTCATCAGTTTTGAGCCCTGGATCTGTCTTCAAGGCTCCCATAGGGTGGAGCCTCCGGTTTTCTTTGGAAGCGTCTTGTTACAGTCAAGTTGTCCTGTAAGTCTCACGAAATCCTCGGCCAGGTTTCTGAGGGGCAGCAGCACACAGGGGTGAAGAGGGTGGGGTCCAGTCTGCGTGTGGGAATCCCATGGCCATGAATTACTAGGATAACGGGGAAGTTACCTACCCCTTCTGTGCTCCCATTTTCTTCATCGGTAGAATAATAGTAGGCGCCGTCCTCCCGGGGCTGTTATCAGAAGTAAGTGGGTGAGAATATTTGAAGTGTTTGAGAGCAGAGCCAAACCCTTGCGTGGTTGTGTGTGGCCAACGCTCCCCTGCAGCCTGCAGGTGGTAGCAGGGTATGAGTGAGCTGCGGGGACGACTCCTTCTCCAAGTCCCAGAGGAGCTGTTGGTTCCACCGTCCCGCTGTCCTGCCCCGTGGTCGGACCCTCAGCCTCGGCCCTCAGCTCCCGGGGGGGTCACTGCTGGGATTGGCTGTATGTGGCCCCGGGCAAGTTATTGAATATCCCAGGGTTGTCTCCTTATCTGTGGAATGGAGAGAACGAGGCACCCCCCTGCAAGGGGCCGTTGCGAGGAGTAAAGGCATCCATGGGGGCAGAGTTTGAGTGCAGAGAGTGCTGGCCAGCAGTTGTGGGTGCCCCTCTAGAGCTGCCACCTTCCCCTGCTGTGTTCTCTGTGCCTGCTACTCAAGTCCCCCCACCACCACCGCCGGCACCCCGCGGGCTTTCTGTCCCTCCCTCCCTGCAGGTGCTGTTGCTGAGATCACCAGTGGCCTTCTCTCTGTCCGGACCTGAGCTGCTGCTTCTTCTCTTAGGCTCTGGGAATGGTTTTAACAGTGAGGTCATCCTGTGAGCAGGGTCCAGGCCGGGGGCAGTTGAGGGGCAGAGAGGAGTGGAGAGGCTCACGGAGACAGGACAGACTGAGTGAGTGGCAGAGAGCTAGGCAGGGCAGGTCTGTGGAGCATCTGGGCCTGGAGTGGACAGCAGGCAATGGGCTGACAGTTGCAAGAGGAGTAAGTTAGAACAAGGAGTAGTGAAGGAAGCAGAGGGAGCGTACTCAAAGGTGCTAAGGCACCTATCAGAATGTCTTCAACATAAGGAAGGAAGATATCTGAGTATTTTAGGGCAAAAGAGGAAGCAACTAGTAGAGGAGAGGATGAAGATGCTGAGTGGAATGCAAGTGTGTCCAGAACAAGAACCAAGACCGAGGGGCTTAAGAGTACACTTATCGAGGGAGAAGAGGGAGACCCAGAGCAGGCTTGCTGTCTGCTATGTGAGGACACAGAGAAAAGTGGCCATCGCAAGCCAGGAAGAGGGTTCTCACCAGACACTGAACCTGATGACATCCTGGTCTTGGACTTGGCAGCCTCTGGAACTGTGTGCAATCATACCATGTTTTCATCTGCCCAGGCTGTGGTGTGTAGCTTGCAGCCTGAGCTGCCCCAGCAGGTGGTAGGAGGGTCAGCCGTGGTGCCCAAACAATCGATGTCTGTTCTGGGAAGTAAGGGACAGGTCTGGGGGCTCTTCTGCTGAGATTAGGTGTATCTGCGGTATGGAGCTTGAGGCAAGGGATGATAGATGGATAGAGTGAGCAGAATGGAAAGTTAAGGGGCCCAGAATCTAGGATGGGGCAAATGGCCATTTTGAAGGGTTAACGAAGAATATTGAGCAGCTGCGTGTAGATGAATTAACCACTAAACACAGCTCGAGGGCTAGTTTGTAGGGGTACAGGTGTGTTCTTGAGTTATTGTATTGTTCTTTAGGCCACTGTGGACTCGTCAGCCAAAGAAGCTTTGCCTTTTCCTCTTACATCAGTCAGGCCTTCGTGTTTTAGGACTAGAGAGAAAGAAGCAGCTTGGTGCATGAGGGACATCAAACGAGCTTTGTTTTCTGTGGTCTCCCGCAGCAAAGTGAGACAGTCTAGCTGGAGTCACTCAGGAGAGGCGAGGAGGGTGATAGGTCCTTCAAAGGGGAGCTGAAGGGGAGAGAGGAGAATTTTCTGGCTGAAAGGAAGGACCTGCCACCCTCTGATGCCTGCCGGTGGTGGCAGGACCTGGAGGGTGGGGGGTGCGCGGGTGGTTGTGTGCACACTGAGTGCGGAGCACCAGCCCTCCCATCTCCCCAGGAAGCCACCCCTCCTGAGCCAGGCCCATCTGCTTCCAAGCGCGCTCACCACTCTCTGGTCCTACAAAATCTTCCTTGACCCAAAGTCCCCTCCAGACATCCCTTCCTCCCCTTCATTTCACACATCCATCCTCCTGAACCCAGTGCAATCAGATTTCTCCACCATCTTCGACGGCAGCTTCCCTCGTCAAAAAATCACCACCAGTCTCCTTTCCTAAATCCAATGGGCGTCTCTCAGAACTTACTTGACTTCTCAGCAGCATGTGACACCAAGATGACGCCCACTTTTCCCCCATGTCTTTCCTTAGTTCCCTTGACACGGCCCTCTGTGGATCTGTGGAGTTCTCGCCTAGTTCTCTGGCCCCTCTCCCTTGTGTCTAATGCAGGCCCTCTTCCTTGGACCGCTGGGTCAGGGCCAGTCTCTGGAGAGTTCTTGCTGGACCCCTGGCTGGTCTCTTCCCGTCAGCACACTCTTCTAAGACCTTCCCGCCCACGCCGTCTGAGGGTGGATCATGGCCCACCCGCAGGTAGTGCCTTAGCCCTTCCCATGTCCTGGGTGTTGGCAGCGACAAAGGGCTCATTTCAAACTGGTTTACTGTTTCTTGGAGAGGCACAGGGGGATCGATTACCTTGCTGACACAGCACAAAGTCATTCTTCTTTTCTCTCTATGTACCTCTCTTCTCACAGGCTGACTCATGATGGTAGCTATTCCTAGCCATTTCCAGAAATGGGGGGTATTGGATTTATAATTTAAAATGTTCTAGTAACCATATTTAGAAAAAGGTAAAAGAGAAACAGGTAAAATTAATTTTAATGCTATGTTTTATGCAACCCCGTATGTCTAAAATATTTCATTTCAACATGTGTCAATTGAAAAATTATCCATGAGATATTTGACATTTTTTTTTTCCGTACTTGGTTTTTTGAAATTCGTGTGTATTTTACACTTACAGCCTGTTGTCACTTGGGCTGGTCCCTTGCCCAGTGCTCAGTAGGACCACTGTCCCGCAAGCGTGCCTGCAAAGGCTTCCAGTCCCCTCACCTCGCCCTGTGCACCCCCAGCCCCGTGCTCCCCCTCCCCACCCTCCCCATCGTGCAGGTTGACAGCCTTTCCTCGGATCCCTCTGATTCTGGACTTCCTGTGGTTCTCTGATGTACATAGAGAGGCCTGGAAGGTTATGGAGGGGCTAAATCTGTGAATACTGACCGTATCATGTTTTGGTTCCTGCCTCATTAACTATCAGTTGGAACGTATACAGCAGGAGTCTGATGTTACAATGATATATTTATTACAGTGGTGTTAGCCAGATTCATGGGACATCTTTAGGGACTTCTTGGAAGTATAGTCTTATAGAATGCTTCAGCATCTAATCCCACCATCATGTTCACATCCTGCCTTCATGAGGGATGTGGGCGTGAAAAACAGTGCACAAGTGTTAGGACTGAGGTGCTTGGGCAGGTAGGAAACAGGAAGACGTTACATGTTAAGTTGGTCCTCATTTATTGTGAAGGAAAACCAATAAATGAAAGTTAATCCCATCCTCCACAGTTACTGACTTTCGGTTTTCCTCTTGATATTCATCCTGCAACCTCTTTAAGTGAAGAACCTAGACATTCTTATTTAAAATGTTTTCTCAGTAAAATAGTAAATATAACACCACCAATATTATCCAGAATGGTAAAGAAATGAAATATCCTAGTTAAGTGAATATTTGTGAAATTAAGTACACATCCAAATACTACAACTTTAATTTTAATAATTTTAAGTGGAAATACTTAATAATCTATTACAAATCCTGTCTTAGCATCTAGAGAATACTGAATGTAATTCAGACTTTTCTTAGGTTATTTGCCGAATTAAATTACATTGTTTTTGGGGGGGCAGGAGAGTAACTAATATCTATGGAGTGGCTACTCCTCCAAGAGCTATGCTTTTATTACGATAGTTCTTATATTTTACTGAGGGTGTTCCCAGCCCCATTCTAAGTATTTGAAGGAAGACGCTACATTTTGCCCACCAGGTAGGCTTATGCAGTCGGAGACTAGCCCGACCCGCCTCGCGCGGTGCAGAGCTGGGATCTGAACTCGAGCGAGCGCGCACTAGAGGCCACGTGAACTTCAGCACAAACCTCTGTCCCCCTTTTACAGACGCAGAAACTGAGGTGCAAAACAGTTAACTAACTTAAACTTGGCTAGTAAGTGGCTGACATTTCTTTTTCTTACTCCTCCGTTCTTTCCGTTTTCTAGAACTTTCTGGGTTTTGGCTCAGGCAGGCCTTGCGTTTGCTAATCAATGCACACACTTCTTTCTCCCTTTGGTTCGCTTGTCTGCCTTTTCATTTCCCCGGAAAGTATCTTCTATCCTCACAAGGCAGTACTTACTGAGTGACTTTGTTTGCTGGGCTACAACCACCCTGAAGTCCTTTAGAGAGACACCACGCTTGCTTTTCAAAGTTTAAATTCTGAAACTATTGACCATTTTTTCCCACAGAGAGATCGGAACAATTGTCAGGTCGCTAGGGTGCTGCCCCAGTGAAGGACAGCTGCATGACCTGCTCGCAGAGGTAAGTGGGCTGGCAGCAGGGCTGCGTGCGGTGGGCTCTCTACTCCCCCTGCTCCTTGGATCTAAAAACCCTTAACTGCAACTGGGCGTGTCCTAAACTAACGAATGTGCTTGATGAAGACATTGGGGCAGCTTTGCAGATTGGCCAGGCAACAGTTCTGAAACAGTATCAGATCTGGAAGAAATGGCTTTGACCAAGTAATGCAATGGCTCAAGTAAGGAGCCTGCCTTAGATATTATTTACACTCTTTGAAATTAATTGAAGAGGGCCTCTGGGTGGCTCAGTCCAGTTAAGCATCCTGGTTTCAGCTCAGGTCATGATCTCAGGGTCATGGGATGGAGCCCCACATCAGGCTCTGCTCTCAGCGGGGAGTCTGCTTGTCCCTCTCCCTCTGTTCCTCCCCTGCTCGAGCTTTCTCTCTCTCTCTCAAATAAATAAATAAATAAATAAATAAATAAAATATTAAAAAAAAATAAAATTAGTTGGAGAAAGGCCATCAGATGCAGGGGACTGACTGCAGAGAGAACGCTGACAGATGAAAGGAACGTAGTGAAGAATGTCAGTTCAGAGGGGATGGAAAGGGAAGTAGAGACTGTAAGAGATTTATATTTATTGAGGGGAAATAAAACTAACTTTCAGAAGAAATAGTACACATAATGAAATAATAAGAACTAACTTGATATTGACTGAATGGTCCAAGAATTTTAAAAATGGTTATTTGTAATAGTATAGATGAGTCTCTGGAGAGAATTACCCCATAAAGCAGTGATGAGTGGCCCGAGACCAGAGAGCTCCATGCCCTGTTTGGTTTTCCAGAAAAGCGTCTGGTCTAGTATCAAGTGCAGCTTTCAGTTCAACAAAGCAGAGGCCTGAAGGGAACAAAGCTACCTGGGCCCCCACCAGGAGAAGAATCTGTTCAGAACTGCAGATCTAGGTGTGTGGGTTTTGGTGGAGGCCAGGCTTCGAGCAGGAGGAGACGGGAGGCAGGCAAGGAAGTGGGGGTTTGGTTGAATTTTGTGCCCAGCATGGCACTGGGGTGAGTCACCTAACCTCTGCGCCAGTTTCTCCATGAGAATACCTACTTCAAAGGTAAATGAAGTAATGTATTAGAAGACGTGTTTTGAATCCTAAAGCACTATATACAGTTAAGAAGTGGAAGATTGAAAAGAGGACTCTGTTGCCCGCGTGTTAGCATCTTGTAACTAAAAAGCAGGACTGGTTTTTCATTAGCATTTAAAAATATTCAGTAAAGCACGAAATCTTTACATTGTTTTTCTGTTTGGGGATCCAATAAAACTATTTTTGCGCAGAGGAGAAAAATCTTATTTTTCCTGAGTCGGTCCTCACATTTTTAAAAAAAGGTGTTGATCACTGCTTGACAGTGTTTATCGACAAAGCTAGAATTTGTGCTAGTGAAAGAGGAGAGTTGGCACCGTGGAGCAGATAGGAACTGGAAGATGAACTTACAGTGAAATCATAATTACCGCATATACTTCAGTAGAGTAGGTGGAAGAGTAAGGAAAAATGCCTCCAGAAGATAAAAAAGCAGAACCTTTAGAGCCTAATTCCTTTTGTCTGTTTTAATCAGCAAACCACAACCCCTGGGCCAAACCCCATCCACCACCTGTTTTTATAAATAAAGTTTTATTGGAACACAGCTAAACTCATTTATTTACATATTGTTTCTGGCTGTGTTCTCACTGCAAGAGTGGAGTTGAGAGTCCTTGCGACAGAGAGCATATGGTTTGCAAGCTTAAAATATTTACTGTCTGGTCCTTTGCAGAAAAAGTTTGCCAACTCTTCATCTGTAAGTTTCTGTGGCAAAGTAGAATAAATACTGCATCTTGGGTCAGGAGGTCTACATTCGAGGCCCATAGCTACCACTTACAGCTATGTGGCCTTTCAAAGCCTGGTTCCACAGCCACAAAAGGAATGCAACAATAGTAAAGTGTATCTTTATGAGGATTAAATCTGATAACTGTCAGGATTCATGTGTTACTTGGTGGGCTCTCAACACATATTTGGGTTTGCTTGCTCTATAGGTGGCTGCTGAAGCAACCCCACGGGTTTGTGCAGTTAATCACAGTAGATGCTTGGGTACCAACGTTATAATTTGTCTTTGCCCCTTTCTTAGACATACTGACACAACCTCTGAAAATTGTACACGATTACAGCAGTTGTACCAGTAGGGATCACTGTGCTATCTAAGCCCTATACACATTTTTCTGTCCTTGTGCACAACTTATTCAAATTAAATTATAGCGATATGCATAAGAAGTTTTGGGCGTGACTCTCCTTTTTGTGGTTTCCCAAATAAGTGAGGGGAACAAAGCACATAGATAGTTGTAGGTATTGAATACATTTACAAAATCAGAGCTACAGGTAGTAAAGCTCTAGGGGTGAATGTCCTATTGCTAAGTGCTCTGTAGTAGTTTCAGAAATGAAACTATTTCTGCTTTTTTTTGCTTTAAAATGCAATAATGTGATAATCCTCTAAAATTCTTCAATAGGAGCGCCTGGGTGGCTCAGTCATTAGGCGTCTGCCTTTGGCTAGGGTCGTGGTGCCGGGGTCCTGGGATCGAGCCCCACATCGGGCTCCCTGCTCAGCCAGGAACCTGCTTCTCCCTCTCCCTCTCCCACTCCCCCTGCTTGTGTTCCCTCTCTCGACATCTCTCTCTCTGTCAAATAAATAAATAAATAATAAAATAAAATTCTTTGATAAAACGTCAAAACCTGTGTGCAGGTCTCTAGTTGCCATTTACTTGAGTTTTAGTCGAAGTACATACTGACTCTCAGCCCCTCACTTCCAAAGAGCAATATGAGATCTGATGTTGCTCTTGAAATAGATCATTTAAAAATCGCTCAGCATTGATCCCTCTACTTCATATTCTGCAATTACCAACTTGCCCCAAATAATCTCTGCACATTTGGAATATCACAAAACTCAACAACTGTGACAAGGGTTAATACCCAAATTTTATTGACATACAGGTTACAAACAATTCTTCCTTTTCTAAGAAGTTATATCCTTCCAGGATCTTCCATGTGGGAGCTGGGAGGACATGACAGCATCTCAGTACCAGCGGGAAGGGCGTGGAGAGGTCGACAGCCTTTGAAGTTCAAACCTAAATGGAATTGTGGAGAATTTAAAGTAATTAGAAAGGAGAGCTAAAAAAAAAAAAAAAAAGTTTGGAAAACAAGACCTATGTTGGTGAGATTTTGACATTGTACAGTGATTTTTTTAAAAGGTCCATTTATCTCTTCCCGAGTGGCCTGAGGTGACCTCTGAAAATGGTTCGCTATTCGCTTGACCCGGAAAACCCTACGAAATCATGTAAATTAAGAGGTTCAAATCTTACTGTTCACTTTAAGAACACACGTGAAACTGCCCAGGCCATCAAGGGTATGCATATCCGAAAGGCCACTGAGTATCTGAAAGACGTCACTTTACAGAAGCAGTGTGTGCCATTCCATTGCTACAGTGGTGGAGTTGGTAGATGTGCCCAGGCCACACAGTGGGGCTGGACACAGGGTTGGTGGCCCAAGAAGAGTGCTGAATTTTTACTGCACATGCTTAAAAATGCAGAGAGTAATGCTGAACTTAAGGGTTTAGATGTTGATTCTCTGGTCATTAGTCCCCAAGATGCGGCGTAGAACATACAGGGCTCATGGTCGGATTAACCTGTACATGAGCTCTCCCTGCCACATTGAGATGATCCTTACTGAAAAAGAGCAGATTGTTCCTAAACCAGAAGAGGAGGTTGCACAGAAGAAAAAGATATCCCAGAAGAAACTGAAGAAACAAAAACTTATGGCCCGGGAGTAAATTCTGCACAGAATAAATGCAAATAAAAATAAAAAGAGGAAAAAAAAAGGTCAATTTATCAGAAAGGTATAAAAATTTTAAATGTGTATGTAATAACAGAGCTGCAATAGACATGAAACAAAAATGGACAGGTGAGAGGGAGAAACAGACAATTCCATCATCATAGAAGGAACTTATAACAACCCTCTCTAAATAATTGATAGAACAACTACATAAAATATCAACAAAGACATAGATGATCAACCATTAGTCACTCTGGCCTAATTGATATTTATAGGACATACACCCACAAATGCAAAATACATGTTCTTTCCAAGTGTACAGGGAATATTCAATAGGGTAGATTAAGTGCTGGGCCATAAAACAAGTCTCAGTAAATTTTTAAAATTAAAATCATATAGGATATGTTCTCTGATTTTAAAAATGGCATTGAGGGGCACCTGGGTGACTCAGTCAGTTAAGTGTCTGACTCTTGATCTAGGCTCAAGATCGTGAGATTAAGCTCCATGTCGGGCTCTGTGCTCAGTGTGGAGCCTGCTTAAGATTCTCTCTCCCTCTCCCTCTGTCTCTCCCCACTGCTCATGCTCTCTTTCTCTAAAAAAAAAGTAAATTAAAAAAATTAAAAAAGAAATTAAGTTAGCAATCAATTGAGAATAAGATAATTAGGAAATCCTCAAATCCTTGAAATTAAGCAACCTCCTTCTAAATAATTCATGAATCAAAGAAGAAATCACAAGGGGAATTAGAAAATATTTTGCCCTGAATGTTAATGAAAATACAACATGTCAAACTTTGTGGGATACAGGTAAGCAGTGCTTAGACACCAATTTACAACTTTAAATGTTTATACTGGAAAAGAAAAAAAGACCTAAAATTAATTACCTAAATTCTCATCTTAACAAGCTGGAAAAAGAAGAGCAACATAAACCCAGTATAAATGGAAGAAAAAAAATTATGAAGAGCAAAAATCAGTGAAATAGAAAATAGAGAAAATCACTAAAAGCAAAAAACTAGTCTTTTCAAATAAAACTGGAGTAACCTCTAGCTAAGGTAATCAAGACAAATTACCAACATCAAAATTAAAGGAGGGTTTATCATTATCCTTCAGACATTTTAAAAGGATAATAAAGAAAAACTTTATGCTAATAAACCTGGCAACTTAGATGAAATGGAC